GTGGGTGTACTCTCCTAACTGCTGTAGGAGCGCAGAGGAAGATTAAGGTGTGCGTGACACAGCCTGCTATGAATGCCAGCCTACTTCTTTTGTAACAGGTCTCACTTAGAAGGTGGCACAAGCTGCTGCTGAGGATGGCACCTCTCTTCGGGAGGGAGGGCCGGGGTGAGTCAGTAGAATGAGAGGGCTCCAGGGCAGACTGTAGAAGGGCATCGTGACTAATGTGCACACCACCTCCTTTCCTCTCCTTGTCATTATAATTTCAATCCAGGCAGGAAAGGAGCATCTGCCCTAACTCAGAAGCAATCTCTTCCCTGCTCCCCCATTCCAAGAGGGTGAATTCACCGACCTCGTCCCTGCTCTCCCATTCCAAGAGGGTGAATTCACCGACCTCGTCCCTGCTCTCCCATTCCGAGAGGGTAAATTCACTGACCTCGTCACTGCTCTCCCATTCCGAGAGGGTAAATTCACTGACCTCGTCACTGCTCTCCCATTCCGAGAGGGTAAATTCACTGACCTCATCTCTGCTCTCCCATTCTGAGAGGGTAAATTCGCTGACCCCGTCCCTGCTCTCCCATTCCGAGAGGGTAAATTCACTGACCTCAAGATTCATCTTCTAAGGCCCAGGCTGTGAGATGCTTAAAAGCCAGAAACATCCCATATGAAATGAGTGCATTTGCCTCGATGCTGCCACTGCATCAAGCAGATGGATTGGTGCTATTATTACTTAAAGACAGCCCATCAGCCAACACTCCACATTTACCCCTGAGGGAAACTCAATTGCTCAGGGCAACCCAGTGAGAAAACCTGGCTTCTAGTCCTAGCTGTGCTCTTCCTCCAAAGCCATGAAGGTACAAAAAAGAGATGGAGCTGAGGGGTAGGGTGCAGACTCAGACAGGCAGGCCCAGGAAGGCAACACCAAGGGGAGCTTTCTCAAAGGAGTGGTACTGGTGAAACATTTCAGAATGGTCCTGCCTTGATGGGAATGTCCTGGCCATTCTGGGGCTGCTCGTTTCTCCCACCAGTTTTGCCTTTCTTCTCTCTATTCCCAGCATCATTATCTCCAGAGATGATCTCACCCAGTTCCAGTCTCACTGTTGTTTCTATCCCAAGAGGTGTGGGCCTTCAGGGCCTACCTAGAATTAAGGCGGGCTTGTAGGAAAATCAAGAGCTCCAGGTATCCTTCCCACTAGGCTCTCTCCTGACGGGGAAACTCATGCCTCTCCCTCCCAGTTCTTCCAGTATTAGCAGACTGGATTAAGGGAATTAGCAGATAAAATGGTGTATCCATCTAATTCCGTATCATGGGTATAGTTTTATCAAGAGATTTAAAGTAAAATTCCTGAGGTCTATTTCTATCTGCGTTCCTGGGGTCTCCAGCCCAAGAAAGTTTCTGAGATGTGGTAGCTTTGGGTTTTTCCAAGAATCAAATCTCAGCTCTACTTCTTACAGCTCTGTAGTTACTACTGAGCTGGGTAGTTATTCAGACTCAATGTGTCTCAGCTTCCTCAACTGTAAAATGCTGGTAGCAATACCTACCTCCTGAAGTTGCTGCAGGGATTTTCTTTTGGTTCTTAGCTAAATTTAATTCCCTCAAATAAATTGGCCAGGAGCACCTAGTGTCCAGGCAGCTGATCTCTTCCTTCCTGGTTCATCCATTTCTTTAACTTTTTAGTGCGAAGATAGTTCAGACCTTTCTGTGGGCAACTCCTGCAGCCCTTTTGTCTCTAGAACTTTGGAAGTTACAAAGTGTTAAGAGCTGGGACTCTGAAATTTAGGTTTGGGAATAAGCTGGAAGTACACCCGGGGTTGTAGAGGGTCAGCAAAAAAGAGGAAGACTCTCAACGAAATGGACTAACACAGTGGCTGCAACAATGGGTTCAAACATAGCAATGATTGTGAGGATGGTGCAGGACCGGGCAGTGTTTCGTTCTGTTGTACACAGGGTTGCTATGAGTCGGAACCGACTCAACGGCACCTAACAACATATCCGGTCTTAGAAATCCAGCAGAGATGAGTCTACTGTAAGAAAAGAAATTGGATAAAAAAGGGAAAAACCTAGGAAGCAATGAAAACAAGTGCGGAGCTGACAGCAGAATTGCATCTGGGTGCCGGTCACTGGCATCTTCTTCCTTGAATTCCTGGATTAGCAGTCATGGAAATATAGAAGCTCTACATAGCATCCTTACAATTAAATTTGATGAAGCATATTAAAACACTTTAAAAAATGTAACATTCTAGAGCTCGGCTGCTAACCAGAAGGTCAGCAGTTCGAATCCACCAGCTGCTCCTTGGAAACCCTATGGGACAGTTCTACTCTGTCCTGTAGGGTTGCTGTGAGTTGGAATCCACTTGACAGCAACGGGAATGCCAAGAGAGACCTAAATGACAACAATAATACTAGAAGCTTATAGTTACCACATAAGTTTGTTAAGGTTATCTCATAAACGGGGGAAGAAGGGAACGGGATGGTATTGTAAAAATATCTGTGGAAATGTGGAAAACAGGAATCTTAACCCAGTAGCCAAATCCCCCTAGGAATCCAAGAAAAACCCAGCACCATGTCTCATGAGTCTTGTACAAGAAGATCACTCAGGACCCAAGGCATTTTGAGGGGTCTGGTTACCTTGTTCTAGCTTGGTGCTATAGTTCAACAGTAGTTCATGGAAACCTACACCTTCTCACTTAACATTCAGCTGCTCTCTCTGTCTGCTTCTCGTTCAATTACTAAAGGGCCGATTCTCTCTGAGTGAGTGTCCTAATGCAAACCTCCAAGACAATAATTGACAAATAATTAACCAGGCCAATGAGATTCGCTATAGTCCCCAGCTAGGCAGAGTTTTTCCTGCCAGGCCAACTCATCACTGCCCATGGGTGTGATGGCCAGGTGTCCCTCCCAGATCCAATCAGCTGAGGCCCTACGGGGTAGGGTCGAGTGAGTAAAAACACAGAACTTCCAAGGCCTTTGCTCACAGCAAGATCTTTAGCCTGGAATATTTTTCTTAGAAGATTCTGAGCTTGACTGATGATGACAGATTAATTGACCATGATTCGAGAAGACAAAAACGAAACTTCAATCCCATCAAACCAGGAGACTGAAAAAGTTAGAAAAACAAAGTTTTAAACCTTATTGGATATTTCAGATAGAGCACTTTCAAATATCTCACTGTTAAAACAAAAGTTCAGACCATATGGAAAATTCTGATTCATCTAAAAAACTATCATTGAAAAAGCTTAGGCCAAACTTCTTGATCAAACCAATTAAAACAGTCCTACAATTTGCAGACCTAGGGGAGCACAGAGTACCACCAGATGGCAGCATTATCCCATCTGTTTTTTAATCAGGTTTTTTTTTCTTTTTTTTTTTTTTAATTCTCCAACTGCCCCTCTTCCCTGAAACTACTTTTCCAACTTTTAAGAGACCTGAGTAGCCAATGGTTGATGGAGAGACTAAATCTCAACAGTAGATGGTAGCATCTACTTTTCTACAGTGCAGTCCACTCATCTCTGAGCTCATTTGAGTCCCAAGACTTTGGGACATGCTATCACTATTTTTTAGTCTGATTAAATATGTAATTAGGCATTGAAGCAGTGGCTTGGATTAGTCAAGGATTACAGACTCCCTAGCCATATCTGAACTGCAGAAATTTAATTTTTTATTGTAATATTCCTTTTTTGGCATTTATCTGATCCAGCTTTTTACTATAGCTATATACAGGACATATATATCCTACTGGATTCAATTCAGTCTCAAAATATTTACTGAAAACCAAGTACAGGCCAGGCACTGCACCATGGAATAGAAAGTCGTTAAGAAATATCCTTGATCTTGAGAGACACGTGAGCAAATAACTAATACCATGAGCACTAAGGCAGATGTTATCATAAAGTACTGTGGGAACACAGCAAAAGAGAAATTCTTCTGGGAGAAGGATAAGAAAAACCATAAAGGGGTGATATTTGAGTTGCAAAGAATGAGTAGGTATCCAACAGGCAGATATTAATAGGATAAAGGATTCTAGACAGTGAAAATCCCACACAGGGTTTAAGTAATTTGTCCAACGTCTCAAACAAGCAGAGCTATGAAGCAAGACAGTCTGACTTCACAGTCCACAGCCATAACTACTATGTTACTAAGGCCCTAGATGCTTTAAAGATTAAAATCTTACTAGCAAAGCGGAGGCCAGAAACCTTCAAGTCTATCCACGTTTTTCTTAGTATTCCCTTGCACAAAGTATTCCATATACTTTGACTGTCCTTTCCAATGGACTAATAAAAATCAAGCCTAGAATAAGAGTGACTGCATACTTGAGTGATTTTCAGCCCCATCCAGACCTGGATTTGAGCATTGCAGGCTTCCTGTAGCACATTTAGGCATATATCTATGGTCTAAACCAGAATGAACAGCTATAACCTTTTCTTCATTTATGATGAAGTGATAATAGGGGGTGATCTTTCATTATTTTTATCCTATAATAGGTGGATTTTTATTAATTTATTATTCTTTACATGCCTATATAGCCTCCCTTATTCAGCGACATGGAGAGATTGCCTTTCCATTCCACTTCGGTCGTTGTCTTTTTCTCAAGCACCACTCCCTGTTGTTGTTAGTTGCCATCAAGCCAGCTTCTGCTCATGGCGACTCCATGTACAACAGGACAAAGCCTTGCCTGGCCCTGTCATCTTCATGTTCATTGGTATTTTCAAGTCCATTATTGTGGCCACTGTGTATTGTGAGTGCCTTCTAACTTAGGGGGCTCAGCTTCCAGCACTATATGGGGCAATATTCTGTTCTGCTCCATAAGGTCTTTCTTCCTAGTCTGTCTTAGTCTGGAAGTTCCACTAAAACCTGTCCACCATGGGTGTCCCTGCTGGTATTTAAATACTGGTAGCACAGGTTCCAGAATCATAGCAACATGCAAGCCACTACAGTATGACAAACTGACAGATGAGTGATGGTACCACCTCTTAACATCCCCCAGATTTTACCTGGTTTCTCTTTGATTGCCTTTCCTTTACACTGTTTCTTTGGAATTCGGCTCTAAGTGCTTTTTAAATTAGCCATTAGAACTGTCTTCCTGGCTACTCCCTTCACTCTCTTCCTGGCTTTGAAAACAAATCTAGTCTCAGCCAAATGCTAACCCTGAAGACTACCTGCTATCTGGCCTTATACAAGCAAACTGACCTAAAACAATATGAATAAGCTAGCTACAGAACAAGTCTTAAATATTCAGTTAATCTGAACATATAAAATAGAAACTATATTCATCCACAGGAAAACTCAGAAACAAAGTAATTTTTCTTAATTTGTGCACAGTGAGGTTTAGAGGTTTGATGATTTAATTCATTTTGGAAGAATTTTTTTATTTTTAAGAATCTGATGAAATCTATGGATTCAGTCCTGGGGAAACACATATACACAAAATTCTGTAAGAAATTTATGGGAGTTCACGCCCTCTCCAGTGGCTATACAGAGGTCCCTCCCCCAGCAATCTAAGGACTGGCCTAAAATATTCTGTTTTGAAATTTCCACTATTTACGGGTTATACACGCAGAAATGCTTGGGAAGCACTTACCGAACCCTTAAAAGCAGGAGCTACTATTTTCACTCTCAAAGAGCAATAAAGAACTTTAGGAAGTTGGGTTATTTCAATGCGAATTTTTTCACGACACTTTCTGTCACCTTTCTGAAAAGGATTTCATGAGTACACCGGTCATTTTGTGATACATACACAGCAAACACTAAGAAGACGGCAGGAGAGAAAAGCAAGAGTAGAATGTTTGAAATAATGTACACGATGCTGTGTACAGAATGGTGCTTGATAAATGACACTGGATAATTCAGAGCCTTTTTTTTATTAAACACATTAGTAGTTATCATTTTATAAAGCTCAGAAACAGACTATTGTATGAAGGCGTATAACTGGCGTATTTGTAGACTGTATCCACTCAAAAACTCACAGTGAACACAATCTATATTACATTCAGCATCTGCATATTTACATGATACCTACTGCACAGTCAAATACAAAACGAAACCTCAACATTTTACTTCAGTACATTTGTGATACAGTTTCAAAACAAAGGCAATTTTTTTCAACCAAAAAACAGAAGTCTCTCAAGCACTAATTCACTATTTTATACAAAAATACAGCAAGTCTAAGTATTAGCATTCCCACTTAGGCTTAGTCAGTAAAGCTGTATCTCTATGTTACTGAAATACAGAGAAAGTTTTCAACTTTAACTATCAAGATAACAGTACTTCTGATTTACAACTGACCTTAAAATAGTAGATGCTAATATATCTATTCTTTTTACATTTTTAGAAGTCTTCAAAATTCACATAATGCAATGTTTTGCCCAGTCATTCAATAAACATAATTTAATACAGGTCACAAAAGTTCAATGAATTAACCAGAATCCTATATCTATTTCCCATCTGCTAGGGTTCAGTCTTAAATCCGACTTATATCAAAAGCAATGGTCCAGAATTTATTTCTTAAGATTACTGTCAAGAGTTACTGGATAGTTTTTAAATTATTTCACTGCTTATAAATATAAATCACTAGTGGTTCCCTGCATCAGAAGTATCTAGGGAGCTCTTTAAAAAATTCAGATTACAGGCTCTACCTTAGAACTACTGAGATCTAGGAGTGTCTGTATTTTTCAGATGTTCCCAGGTAATAATGGTATGCAGCCTGGCGTGGGAATCAGACTAGTGATTCTCAACCTTCAGGATGCCAGAATCACCTGGGGGAAACCAATTAAAAAAAAGATTTGACTCAGTAGGTTTAGAGTGGTATCCAGGAACCAGCATTTTAAAGACTCACTTCCATGAACCTCCCAGAGAAACAGCGCCCAGCCTTTGGCAGGTTATAAACGAGTACATTTAGCTATTGAAACGCCACTGTCCCACAAGCCCTAATGAATCCTGCCCTGGGCAATTTTAGTGAGTATCTGCGGGCCACACTTGGCATTTTCAAATAAAATATATTTATATTCTTAAGTATAAAGTTGAAATCAAGTGAATTATGAGACCAAAATTCATTCATTAAAGAGGAAAAGGCTCTTCCAACCAAACTATTTAAACTTTTAAACAGACCAATGTTTAGCACTCAGTTTAAATCTAATGCTTTCTCCATCACTGGCCTGATATGTGATCAGAGGTAGTGATTCCAGCTTGCCAAAAATCTAATGTGGATTATAAAAGATACATATTCTAATCATATATCTTTACAGGTTTTAAACATTCCCTATGTAACAGAGATTGGCAATCAGTTGGATATTAAATAATAGTGAAACAGCAAATAATACACCTGGATTTTAAACAACGAAACTTCCTATTTCCGTCATGTAATACGTTCCTACATGTAATGCTGGAAAAAAATCTAGAAAGCACTAGAGGTATCATGCTCCCTCTTTTGTGAAGAAGCTATTTACTAATTTTCTACCATTCCTGTCCTTATCTATAAAGTAGGTGATTGGAATATGTAATTCTACTTGAAGAATGTGTAAAAGCACAGAAAAAGTAACTGCTTGTAAGGCCACACAGCCAATCAGAGGACAGGCAGAACTAGGGATTAGACCTTCCAGCTGGAAATCTGGGTTCATTATCATATCTACTTGACAACTATATCTCAGTGTGATGCCTGTTACCAAGTATTATAATATTTAAGCATACTGAGTGTGTGATAGCTCCATAACCCCCTAAACCTTAGAAATAGATGTAATCAACCCTGAACCCAGAAGCTACGTAAGAACTAAATAGCAACAAGAAAGGTTCAGTGTGGTTTCAGACTTTAGGAAGCAGACAGCGTATGAGGTCGGGGGAATCCATCTGGCATCCTGCTCACTTATCCTTTGTCTAAGATGCTGTTATTTCATATGCACACACTTTTCTAGTATGTTCTTCACAAAGGCTTGTACCACCTATTTCCCAGTGATACTAAACAGTTGGCCTATCTTCCTGACCAAGCAATGAAAAGGCAATAACCAAAAACCAGCATTGTATTGCCAGAAAGGCAAGTCACCTCATACAATAAGGAATGGAAACTTAAATCTGTACCTATTAAGCTAAAAACTGTATAGTAATTTTTAACCACTTAGAGTCTAGATTAGTGTAACAATCAGACTATTTTCCAGTTTATAAATGATTCAAGGCCAAGATAAATTTTAACATTACGTAAATACTGAAAAAATTACATATAAATGTCAAAACCAAGTAATATTATACCTACTACTTAGAAAAATGGCTGAAACGAAGCTAAGGAGACACAGCAATCCTGGGAAAAGGATTTCAAAATGTAACAATGGTACAAGGCACTACCGTAACTCTAGTGACACCTGGGTCGTCTTAAATCCAGATGATGCGACAAGCAAAGGAAATACACACAAGGACATTCAACTGTTCACATCCTTTTAGCTGGTTTGGCAGTTAACTGCTTTTCTCTTTCAAATTCCTTCTCTCGTTGCTGCTCCCTTTCCAACTCTTCTTTCTGCCTTTTCTGCTGCAGTTTAAGTGCTCTTTTCTGTGTCAAAAAAATTTAAAAACCAAGTGAACAATCAATTGTTATAGGTTATGGCCTAAATTAAAAGCAATACTGCTTTGCTTTGAGGTCATCAATCTATATGAGTAAATTTTATATTTAACTAAATTAGTTCTGGGTACTCTAAGGTCCCCTTGACTGAAAAAAAAAAAAAAAAAAGTTACTCCAAGCTGTCATTAGAAGGGAGTTACTACATATCCAGACAATATGAGCCCACCAGCCCAGCTATTAGTAGAGAAGCCTAGAGTGAGGTTCAATAAAGGACAGATTTTTAAAAGAAAATAATGTAGCATGAATTAAGTATGTTATTATATATACATATATAAAAAGTAAATAGTAAAGAAAAACAAACAATTAAACCTCTACTTTTATAAAGAATGTGAAAGAATTTCCAACTCACTTTCAACTTTGCTGTCTTCTCATGAAGCATCAGCATCTCTTTTCTTATGTTCACTAGCTTGGTATGATAGTGTTTAGCTTCAGTGAACTTAACACGGAAAAGTAAGAGAAAATTCAGTTAAAACATACTGAGATATCAAAATGGATAAATAAATCAATACCAAAATGACCGTTCATTATTTCCAAGTTGGTCAATTTTTTTTTTTAAGTCTTGATTTTCTCCATATTTTAATTCCAAAATACAAATTTAATTTAAACCATTAGCAGAATTTTTAAAACCCTAACGACAATTAAGAGTTATTGACCACAGAATAGATATTTATACTATACTGTATACATTTTGCTTGAAAAACCTGCAGTATAATCCTGAAATTTCAGGACGACTACCCAATAATGCCATCAGTTCCATTCAAGAAGAGTAAAACACTTCTACTGTCTTTACAAGCAGAGACGGAGCCAGGGTTCACAGCACAATTTCATGAAGAGTCGCCACCCACCAGGGAAACCAAGCTGTGGTCAGAGAGACCTGAGAGGAATGTGGCCCAGACCCAGTCACATTCCTCAGACTTCTGAGGCCAGACCAAGCAGAACAGCCTCTGTGAGGACACTTTGCTTCCCAAGGAGTTCTAAGTACGGACTTTACATCTCAGCCAGCCTCCAGGGCCTAAAGTGAAGTCCCATGTCAGAGGAAGACGGGAGGATGATGCAGGCCTAGCTAGGTAGGAGAGAAGCAAAAAAGCACCTCAGTCTCAGACAAGGTAATGGAGAGAGAAGAAATGAAGAGAAATCTCAGTAGCCACCTTAACGTGACTGAGCTCTAAAGCTTACAGACCCTCTTTATAGCTCCCTGCACCTTCCAATTTTCCATTCCTAGCTGATAATCAAAACCACTCTTGGGCTGAGAGAGGAAAGAAGAGGGACTTAGCTCCTGCCCCTTCACACTGAATAAACAATATTACATTCTGTTTGGTTCATTCATTGGACAAATATTTGTTCTACTGCAACATGAACTCAGTGGGGGAAACAAACGTAATCAGGGTAGCCTTACCCATCTCCTTCACGAGAAGTCACATACTACTGAGTAGGACTTCGAATTTACTACCACAGGTCTCTGTCTAATGCTGGAGAGAACAGACTCTGCTTTTGCTTGTTAGAAAAGGAACACATTCATAAGCCACATTTACCCAGTGAAAGGAGTCCCTGGGTGGCACAAACAGTTAAGCGGCTGACTATTAGCTGAAAGGTTGGTGGTTCGAACCCACCCATAGGCGCCTCAGAAGACAGGCCTGGCAATCTGCTTCTGAAAGGTCACAACCTTGGAACAGTTCTACTCAGCACACATGGGGTCAGCAGAAGTTTGAATCAACTCCACAGCAACCAACAACAACAGCCCAATGAAAAAGTCCCTTTTTTTGAGGTATATGTGAATAGCCACACAATCATGCGAACCAAACCATTTCTAATGTTCCAGAGGAAGAGAAAGATAACCACAAGTTCCTTATTTTTTTAATATCCTGTTTCTTAAAATAAAGAGTATCAATTCTTATCAGAAGGCTACATAATGGATGGAGTTTGAAGACATTATGCTGAGTGAAATAAATCAATCACAAAAGGACAAATACTGTATGACCTCACTTATGGAAAAAGACAAGAACAGACAAATGTATAGAGACCAGTTTATTAGTGGTTAACGGGGGCAGAAGAGAAGGGGAAAGTGTGGGGTACTGTTCATGGAGCACTGAGTTTTGGTTTATGGTGATGGAAAAATTTCACTGATTAAGGGTAGGGTTGCATAGCCAATTAATGTAATTGATGTCAGTAAGTTGTATACTTGTGAAAAGTTGAACTGGCAAAAGTTGTGTGATAGGTATATTTACAATAACAAAAAAAAAGAGAGCTGCTGAGACTGCTTATGTATAACCAAATACCTCATGGGATTTGGTTCCTTGGTTTGGAGGTTTAGGGTGATGGTTTCAAGAACCATCCCAGTTAACTGGCCTAATAACATGTTTAGTGCTTCTGTTCTACCTCCTAGTTTGTTGTGTAGCACCTGGGATCTTAAAAGCCTGCAAAGGGCCATCCAAGGAATGGCAGTTGCTCTCTACTCACCAGGAGCAACAGAGGAATAAGGAGGGCCAGGAATAGGAGGAAATGGAATGTGTGGCTAATTGCCTCCATGAATTACTGCCTCCTTTGCCATAAAACAAAAGAACTGGATGGTGCCCAGCTACCATTGCTGAACATTTCGATCAAAGATGCTATAGAAGAATCTACATCAAAAGGGGGAAAATGCAGAACAGAATTTAAAATTCTCATGAAATCTAGACTTTCTGAAGCCACTGGGGCTGGATGAACCCCCAAAACTAATGCCCTGAGATAATCTTTAAACCTTAATCCAAGAATATCCCCCAAAGTCTTCTTAAAACCAAACAATGGTTCAGCTGAACTAGTAAAGAATGTCTGCCTTGAGCTTTATGCTCTTTTAAGATCTATCTATATGGGATCAAACAGACAACAACAACTTGAAACATTAGACAGGAACCTTAGGGGGCACTGAGTTTATGTTAATGGGGGAGGAACAACTCAGAAAAGGAGGGTGAGAATGGTTGCACAACTCAAAGAATGTAATCAATGTCAACAAATTGTACATGTGGAAATGGTGTTGAATTGGTCTATGTTTTTATGTGTATATTCTCAACAATAAAAAATAATTTTAAAAAAGCTACAGAGGTTTTGATGGAGTTCATCTATTGTCACTTACACTGAAAGATCTAACTGATCATTGTCAAAGGGTCACAACATTAATTTGTTATGGCATTATGACTATGCCACACAAGGAAATAAAGCTAGTTTCAAGGGGAAAATGATGCAATTGATAGCTAAATAAAGATACATTTTCCTTAAGGATAAAAGCAGTAACCAAAAGTTCCTTCATTTCAGTTCTCCTTTGTAAGTCTCTAATTACGAACAGATCGGACTTTTAAAAATAAGTTAAACTTCTTATTACAAGTTCAAGATTTGAAAGATAATTCATGACAAAGGAAGTTCTAGTAAAGTAAATCATGATTTCCACTTAAAAGATAAATTTTTAAAATTAGAGGAAAAGATCCTGAACAAGTACAAAGCTAAGTTATGAGGCTAAACTTTGCTATTTTTAAAATTAGAGGTCATTAACCTAAACCAACTAAATCATACTTGTTAGGTGCTGTCGAGTCAGTTCCGACTCCCAGCAACCCTACGTACAACAGAATGAAACACTGCCCGGTCCTGTGCCATCCTCACATCATACTTACCAAAGCATTAATATCCAACATAGAATGACATTCTTTAAATTTTGAAATCTCTTGTTCCAGCGTGTCTAATAGTACAACTTGGTTTTGTCTGAAACAAAAGCACACAGCCAAAATAAACTTACATACTATAAATACTGGCTCATTAAAAGGAAACACATTCACTTTGGTTAATGTTAAAGGTTCGGAACAAGCTGGAAATGTATAAAAGCTCTTGCAGAGAATTGATCTCCAAAGCTTATTTGGTGTAGCATAATCTGTTTCTCAAAATAACATTCCAACGCTATGTTCTGGTAATTAAATGTGTTTTTATTCTTCATGTTCAGACTCTAAAAACTAAAACTAACAAATCATTTAAAATTATTTGTACCAACTCTCTGTATATCCCCCCAAAAGAAGTTTCTTATACTATCATGCCCAGGAAACTTCTTATGTTTTGTATCTTATTACTGCAATATTCTCATAAAGGAAATGAGGAGCAATTACTTTTCAAAGTCGAGTTGGGGAAGATGCAGTATCAATGAATAATAACTCAAAAGGAATAAATAAGAAGCAAGATAGAAAAAGCACAGGACTAGGAACCACAAGATCTCACTGCCAATAACCGGTTGTGTGATCTTGGAAATTCAGTTGATTTCTCTGGGCCTAAATTTCCTCATCTATAAAATGAGATCAGACCACAGAACTTCTAACGGTCCTCTTTAAAATCATATTGAGGAAGAAAAGTCAACTTCCCTAATATTCCTCTCCAAATTCAACCACTGTTATGATCACAGGGCTGAGTGACATTGAGGGGTAGGGTCATCTAATTGAATATCTGAAGTTTGAATATTTAAATATTTGAAGTTTGTCCCTTCAGCTCTGATCAGAGAAGAAAACAGAAGGTGAAATATACAACAGATGATAAGAGAACCCAGCAAGTCAGCCAGCCAAGAGAAGCAGGACAACACAAACAGGCTGCCACCACTCCCTAGGTTTAAGAGTACCTTAATACTCTGTACCTCTGTATCTCAAAAAAGGTAACTTAAGGATCTTTGGCAACTTGTTTGAACCACCAACTGAACCCAGGTGTGACTTTTATGGAAGCAATTTCTCGACTCAGAAACAGGGGTATACCCGCCCTGCAACATCCCAATAGGCAATATTTTCATAACATAATGATCCAGAATCTAGATAAGGTTTAGCAGTACTTATTAGAAGATATCAAATGCTCTAAGAATATCATTTCATTCTTTTACATTTAGATTACTATGTATTCCTCTACTACGATTTGCTATCAAAAAAGATAATATAAATACTTGATTATGATTAAATGTTACAAAATATATCTTAATACAGTACATAATTATACAGTAAATTATGGCTTATGCCAGCAAGGAAATGAGTGCATAACTGGTTTTTGTTAGCTTACGTGAGCTCCTGGAGGGCTTGTTTTGATCTCTGCAGATCTGGCAGATAGTGAGAGAGCAATCCTTCTGCCAGCTGCTCCACGGCTCTGTCTTCCACAGTCAAGGGATCTAACAACCCTTCATCTGGAGAAGTGTCACTTAAACCTGTCCCCAAGCAAAAATCAAATTTTAGGAAGCTTTTCAATTGATATCATTACTAAAAGGGGAGAGGAGGGAACAGGTAGGAAGGAGAGAAGGAAGCTGGCAGTGGGGCTCAGCACAAACCCACTCTTCCACAACAGGTGTTTTTTAACTTTTACCTTCTGGGCTTCCTCTCAAAAAATGGGTTCTAAGGGCTCAAAAACTGTTTTTAAGCTATCAGTAGAAGGTAATATCTACAGTAAAAGAACATTAACATATGCACAAATCTGTCCTTGTATGTATTTTTCAGGGCAGACATTTATAGTTTTCAATGCATTCTGAAAGGAATCTGAGTTCACTGAACTTAGGCATTCTTGCTTTCAAAAGCCTGCAAAAACTATATGAACAAAATGCAATGTCTAAAAATATTTTTTTCAATTCAATGGAAGCAAAAATGTGGGTCCATAATTATTTGACATACAGCTTAATATATTATTTACACGTAAAAGAGGGGTTGTTTCATCATTTGTTAGGGAGGAGAGAGATTTTCTAGGAATTTCTCATCTCACAAGATTGAACACCTGAAGGTACTACAGAAAAGAGTGCATAAACAATTGTCTTTTTGTGTAAATCCTGTCTTCCATACTTCCAAAATCTGAGGCCAAGAACTATGCCTCATACTTTCCCTTTGTATAATCACAGTGCAAGCATTGTGCCAGGTATTCACAAATATTTAAAATGAATACCCATCAATCATTGCTCCTACCAAAACAGCTTCTAAACAGGGTACAATTAAAGGTTGCTAAGGTTTCAGAATCACTGATTTAGAATGAGGGGGAAAAAAAAAATGATGGTCACATAACTAAAACTATATTCCAAGAGCATTTAACAATTAATATTAAACTCCGAAATACCTCCTCAATCATAATTTGGTAATAATCAGGAACATCAAATTAGAACATTATACAGAATGCATTTATCACAACACATTGCTTATAGCACATTTCCAGGTACAGTTTTTGGCAAGATTGAGAAAAATGACATGCTGTCATATTCAAAATTCGCTTTTAGATAAATCAAAATAAAATAGTATGATTTTTTTAACCCTGAGAAACACATAAACTTTGAAGTTCTCAAAGTTACAAGGCAACATTCAAACAGGTAAGTTAAATAAAAACTGAAGTACTTCACAAATATAAATATAATGGGAAAAGTGAAGGATTTAGGGATATTGTGCCACCAATGGGAAGTGAAGAAATTATATCTGGCAATTAATACCATCGCTTAAGGCTTGACTGCAATGAGTGTAAACAACGGCAATTTTCTTTAATATAGAAAACAAATATTACAGAAAAACAGACAAATGCAAATAAGGATACTTGAATTTTAAGAAACAGCAACTAATACAAATCCCTTACTATATATCACACACACACACACATTTTAACTCAGGGACCGCCAATCTCTGGTTATTAGAAGAGTCTCAGTTACTCATATTTGAACATACATTTAACTAAGTGCAAGGTACTTTATTCTGGGAGATTACAAATAAGAAGACGGAGTCCCTAGCCTATTCATACAAGAAACATTTGCTGAACATCTCTATTATGTGCTAGGTTCTGAGGTTACAACAATGAATAAGGCACGTCCCCTTCCCTGGAAAGGCTCAGTCCAGGTGACTCGTGAAATACACACCATTAGAAATAAATTGTTATGGGAACTCAGGGAAGAGAAAGATCACTTTCATCTGTCAAATCTGGCAACAGTTCCTAAAGAAAGTGTGGGCATTTCAGCTGAGGCTTGAAGAATGGACAGAATTGTCTTTTTTTTTTTTTTTTTCTTTTAAGAGTGTTGGTCATTGTAAAAACTTTAAACACTACCAAAAAAACCGTTGCCACCAAGTCGATTCTGACTCACGGCAACCCTATAGGACAGAGTAGAACTGCCCCAAAGGGTTTCCAAGGAGCACCTAGTGGACTCGAACTGCTGACCTTTTGGTTAGCAGCTGTGTAGCTCTTAACCACTATGCCACCAGGGTTTCCTTTAAACAATACAGAGGGAGCCATAAACTGAAAAGAGAAAATATCACCGTTCACACCCTACCCCAGAGGGAATCACTCTGGAGTTTCATACATAGCTTCCAGAAACTGTCTTTGCGTTCCCATGTATATAACTTTGTTTTCATCACAAACGAAATCATATTGTTCTGCAACTTTTCATTTATGTATCTTAGATATTATTCCACAGTGACATATACGGACCTACTGCATTGTTTTTAGCAGAACAGAATTCTACCATAATTTGTTTAACCAGTCCCGCTGTTGTTGTTAGGTGCCGTCAAGTCACTTCCGACTTACGGCCACCCTGTGTACAACAGAACGAAACACTGCCCGGTCCTGTGCCATCCTCACAATCGTCGTCGTGCTTGAGCCCATTGCTGCAGCCACTGTGTCAATCCATCTCATTGAGGGTCTTTCTCCTTCCGCTGGCCCTCTACAAACCAGTCCCCTATGCATGGATACTTTACATTTTCAGTTTTTTTCCTATGTTAAACACCGCTGCAGTGAGTTTGCTTATCTTTGCATATAGTCATATCACTGTTTCTGTAGGATAAATCCTTAGAAGTAGATCACTGGGACAAAGAGTTTATGCATTTGTTAACATAAATATTGCATGTTTGGCTCTAAAGAGGTAGCAGCAATTTACAATTCCACCAGCAATCTATGAGGATTACTATTTCCAAACGGGTACAAATTCTGAGACAGGAGCGGAAGGGATACAATCTGGGTAAAGGAAGCAGCATGAGGAAAGGTGGGACTATCAAAGGATTGCTCTGTAAAGGGGAGGTAGTTTGGGGTGGCTCCAGTATGGGCCAGACAGCAGTGAGCTACAAGATCACGTGACAGCCTGTGAGGGCCCTTGAGCACCACGTTAATGAGTCTGAACTTTATTTAGTAAGTAGTGAGGAGCTGTTTAAGGTTTCTGAGCAAGGGAGTGACATGACCACAAGCTTTTTATCTTGGGGCAGTGACGTACCTGCAGTGGGATGGATGGGTTGGAAGAGCAGCAGACTGGAGGTGGGCTAGCCTTACAACTATGGTTGTAAATACAAAGAGACAAATGAAAAATTGTATTGCAGAATCTCCTAAATAGAGAGGTAGGAGGCAAGAGAGGAATAGGCAAGTGTCATTTTAAAGTTTCAAGTGAGGGTGACGGCGCCAATAGGATCAGACATTTGCTTTTATTTACGAACGAGCTACCTGCGAGGGGAAACCCTGGTGGTGTGCAGTGGTTACGAGCTATGGCTGCTAACCAAAAGGTCAGCAGCTCCAATCCACTAGCTGCTCCTTGGAAACCCTATAGGGTCGCTATGAGTCAGAATCCACTCGACAGCAGTGGGTTTGGTTTTGTGTGCGAGGTTAGTGCAGGACAACCGGTAAAGATATTGAGCAAGTAGATGGGGGAGCAACAAGACTTAGGAGAGGGGCCCAGGCTGCAAAAACATACAAGGGAGTCATTTTTAGAGGCAATTTATGAAGGTCTGAAGAGGGGGAAGATCACTGAGTAAAAATATGATCAGGAGGAAGCGGAGAGAATTATTTTGGGGTAACCTTGTATTTCTGGAACAGTAGGTAGAAGAAAAAGCACATCCGAAGCCTTGCAGCCTTTCTCATCTAGAGTGCCTCATCGGAGCCACAGAACACAGAAAATAATCTGACTACTTTCTCAATTCTCCCAATGACGGTACATACATGAACAGTACCACTCGCGATGCACAGCAACTTAATTCACTGCATTCAATGATGCCTTAGAACACTTGGGCTTAAATCTCTCCCGGAACCCAGCTGGAGAAAGACCGCCGGAGGAACAGGAATACAGTAATGTTACTAAGCAAAAGAGAGCACTTCATGAGGGTGTGGTCAATAACGTTAATGCTCCGAATCACAAACCCGTCGTCCTGACAACTTCATCCCCAGCCACGACCTTAAAACGAATAGCCGGGGACGCACTGGACTCAACAAACTCCAAATAAACCCACCATCAACCGCCCCCAACTGCCCCCCAAACACCGCTTCCCATCCAGACTTCTGTTCCCGCCCACTCCACTGGGCAGAAGGGCCGGCATGGGTCCCCAATTCCACGCAGAGGCCAGAAACTCGGAACCGAAAGCAGCTTCCTGCCGCGGAGGCCCACCCAGCAGCCCAAGTCCCCGCCTCTCGCACTCGGCCGGCCTCCGGCAGCACGTACCCGGCGTCGGCTCCCCGGCCCCCAAGCTGTCGGGCAGCCGTGTCATGACCCCGCCTGGGGGCGCCGGCTCAGGGACACTCATGTCCCTCCCGCTGGGAACCGGGAAAGGGCAGACGCCAGAACAGAGAGAAGCAGGAAGGCGGTGCCGAACGCCCCCAAAGCCCCGCCGGACAGAAGCGGCTGTCGGACCCGGAAGTGATGGGACGGAAAAAGGCGGGCTCAGCACACGTAACCGTGGGCCCGCCCCCTCGGCCTCCGGGAACGCCCACACCGACGTCCGGGTCGCCTGGGGGGCTGTGTCAGCTGACTGCGTGTGCGATGCTCGATGCCTGAGGCTGGGTGGTGGGGAGGTGCTGCGCCGCTGTGAGCTTGGAAGTTGGCTTTGTCTGGGTTGGGCGGGAGCCAGAAGACAGACGGATCCAGGGCAGAGAAGCCCTTAGAAGAAGGACTCCGTGCTTTCGCCGAGATTTGAACCGTTAAAAAGTTAAACCCAAACCAAACCCACTGCAGCCTAGTCGATTCAGACTCATGGCGACCCGATAGGGCAGAGTAGACCTGCTTTATAGGGTTGCCAAGGCTGTCGTCTTTACAGAGGCAGACTGTCACGTCTTTCTCCCGCAGAACAGGCCGACCTGTTAGCAGCCAAGCCACCAGGGTCCCTATGTGAGCTTCAGCCTTGCTAACTGGGGATTTGCCACGATTCCTGTCTCCCCTTGTTCCTTGTAGATAAATGATTTAAGGCTTCGTTGGCAGCATCTTGACAGAAACAATCAGCTAAATAGGCCAGAAGGACTTTCTACCAGACCCATGTTGCTTTTCTGTTTCTCCTTTCCCTTCATTAGTACCAATTGCTATCGAGTCAGTTCTGACGCACGGAGACCCCATGTGTGTCACAGTAGAACTCAGTGGCTGATTTTTTGGAAATAGATCGCCAGACCTTTCTTCTCATTCACCTCTGGGTGGATTCAAACCTGTAACCTTCCAGTTAGCAGCTGAGTGTGTTAGCCATTTGCACCGCCCGGGGCCTCCTCTACCCCCCCACCCACCCCCCAGATTTCTGCTCCTTGCACCAAGTGCCTTTTGAATGCTGTCTGTGTTCCAGTCTCTGTGAAGCAGCTATGGTGCAGCTGACACTGCATGTGACACAGAGGTCAACAGCAAAGTGCTGGGACTCCACGTCCCACCATAAAAGTCTTCTATTATTATTGTGCTTTAGGTGGAAATTTACAGCTCAAATTGGTTTCTTATTCAAAAACTTATACCAACATTATTTAGTGACACTGGTTGCAGTCCTGCCATGTGTCACCACTCTCCCGCTTTCCCTTTACACCCTGTGTCCATTGGTCCAGTTTTTCCGTCCCTTCCCGCCTTCTTGTTTTTGCTTTTGGGCAGGTGTGGCCCATTTGGTCTCATACTTAATTGAATTAAGAAGCGCATTCCTCGCGTGTGTTATTGTTTGTTCTATAGGCCTGTCTAATCTTTGGCTGAGAGGTGGGCTTTGGGAGTGGTTTCAGTTCTGAGTTAGCAGGGTGCCCAGGGGCCATAGTCTTGGGGGTTCCTCCAGTCTAAGACCAGCAAGTCTGATCTTTTTGTGTGAATTTGGGTTTTGTTCTATATTTTTGTCCCTCTCTGTCTGGGACCCACTATTGTGATCCCAGTCAGAGCAGTCAGTGGTGGTAGCCGAGCACCATCTAGTTGTTCTGGGCTCCAGCGGGTGGAGGCTGTGGTAGTTGTGGCCCATTAGTCCTTTGGCCTAATATTTTCCTTCTGTCTTTGGTTTTCTTCATTCTCCTTCCTCCGGACGGGGTGGGACCAGTAGATGCATTTTAGATGACCTCTCAAAAGCTTTTAAGACCGCAGACACTACTCACCAAGGTAGGATGCAGAACATTTTCTTTATGAACTCTGTTATGCCAGTTGACCTAGATGTTCCCTGAGACAATGGTACCCAGCCCTCAGCCCAGTGACTGGTTTCATCAAGGTGTTTGGATGTGTCTAGGAAGCTTCTATGACTGCCTTGGTCAAGTTATGCTGACCTTGTCTATATTGTGTGTTGTCTTTCCCTTCACCAAAGTTAATACAAGTCTACTAGCTAGTTAGTGATTTCCCCTCTCCACCCTCCCCTCCCTCACAAACATCAAAGATTGTTTTCTTCTGTGTGTAAACCTTTTCTTGGGTTTTTATAATAGTAACCTCATACAATACTTACCCTTTTGTGACTTATTTCACTCAGCATAATGCCCTCCAGATTCATCCATGTTGTGAGATGTTTCTTGGATTCATCATTATTCTTTATCGTTGCATAGTATTCCATTGTGTATAGGTACCGTAATTTGTTTATCCATTCATTTGTTGATGGGCACTTAGGTTGTTTCCATCTTTTTGTTATTGTGAATAACGCTACAATGAACATGGGTATGCATATGTTTATTCGTGTGACAGCGCTTAAAATGTTGGAATTTGATGTCAAGTAAGGAAACACAGTTCACTGAGTCATTATATGTCTTTCACAATGCCCTCATTTCCCCACTGGTAGTGGCCATTCCCTTTTATGTACCCAAGTTATAATCCTCTTGAAACAACTGATACTTAAAACTGGACTAGGCACTGTAGGGGGAAAAAGAGGTAAAAATCCTGTCTATCAGAAACTTCTAGTACTTACACATAGTAGAATTAGTGAGCATGACAGTAAAGCACTAAATTATACGAAACAGAAGATCACAAAGGACATAATGTTCTCAGGTTCATTTCCTGTTGGTGCTGTAACAGATACCATAAATGTAATTGCTTAAAACAACACAAATTTATTGTCTTACAGTTCTAGAGTTCAAAATCCAAAATCATTCTCAGTGGGCTAAATTCAAGATGGCGGCAGGGCTGGTTCCTTCTGGAGGTTCTAGGGGAGAATCTGTTTCTTTGCCTTTACAAGCTTCTAGAGATTTCTAGAGATCATGGTCCAATGTCGCATTGCCTTTCCTCCCTCTGCTCCCATTGCCACATCACCTTCTCTCGTGCTCTGATCCTTCTGCGTCCCTCTCATAAGGATTCCTGTGATTATACTGAGCCCACCAAGATAATCCAGGATAATCACCCCATCTTAAGACCCTTAATCACATCTGCAAAGCCCCTTCTGCCATGTAAGGTAACATTCACACATCTGGAGAACTGAACATGGGCATCTTTGGAGGGGCCACCATTCAACCTACCCCAGATGTGCAACTGTGCAGTGTACAACTGAGAAGTAGAGAAATTTTTTTTAAACTTGATACCAAACCAAACCTGTTGCCATCAAGTCAATTCTGACTCATAGTGACCCTACAGGACAGAGTAGAACTGCCCCATAGGGTTTCCAAGGCTGTAAATCTTTACAGAAGCTGACGGCCACATCTTTCTCCTGTGAAAAACTTAATAGAGGACAACAAATAGAGAAAATGGAATTTAAGCTGTACCTTGAAGGACCAAACAAACCAGTTGCCGCCGAGTCGATTCCAACTCATGGTGACCTCACGTGTGTCAGAGTAGAACTGTGCTCCACAGGATCTTGAAGGGCTGATTTTTCGGAAGTATTTAAGGCTGGACTAGGCACTGTAGTGGGTAAAAAGAGGTAAAAATCCTGGTTCCTGTCTATCAGAAACTTGTATTATTTATACATAGTAGAATTACTTTCTTCTGAGGCTACTCTAGGTCAACTCAAACCACCAACTTTTTGGTTAGCAGCAAAGAGCATGTTAACCATTTGCACCACCCACGGACTCCCACCTGAAGGACATCTAGAATGTAATCAGCAGAGAAAAGCTAGTAAAACCTTCCAGGTAAGAACGAACGTTGTGAGAAGCAAAAGTGAACCTCACACTCAAGAGTCTCAAGGTGCTAACTGTCTTCAGGGGGAAGAAAAGACTAACAGATTAAATGATTAGTAAAGGAACCTAACGGAGAAAGGTGTACCTAGTCATTTAGACCAAAAGAAAGACAGAAGGTAGCAACACTGAACTTCTAAAGAAGTTGCTTCAAAGAAATTAAAAGAAACAATATCCAGAAAAAGTTAAATACTGTATATACTCAGAGCAAAAAGAAAGTAAGTCTTAGCTTTATGAGACCTTGAAATCCGAAAGATAGAAATACAATGCAATATGGCAAAACTGTTTACCCACATTTTAGTTTTTCTATTTTCCTTACATTTTCATATACCCTATATTTTTGCTCACCAAAGAAGAGTAGATAGGTAGGAGAATCAATGAAAGAAAGAAATCTTAATCCATGAATACTTTATCCTCCTTGTATTTATCAGGAATGCCCTATATCTAGAATGTGCTATGATTTGATAAAATCTACTCCCAGTTCGACCTACTTCTCTCACAGAAATTCACTCTCATCCTCCCTTTCATCTATCTCTCCTCATTTTTTTCCCCAAAATCAGAAGAGTTAGGTGGTAGGTGACAAAAAAAATTTGAGAGAGAACAATAGAGGGGCCGGGGCAGCAGGGAAAAGGGACAGGAGAAGAGGATGATACACAGGACAAAGTGGGTTAAAGTGTCAAAAATATAAACACATTCACATAGGATGACACTCTTGCAAAAGGAATTTCTCCTAAAATAACAAAAAGGAAGGGAATTGCAGGCTTTCTGTTTCTCCAATTTCCTTCAGAGGAGTTGGAATACTAAAGAAAACTAGTCAATCATTTTGCCTATGGTTAACCAATCTGAAAAGATAATGTTTTTTCTCAGGCAATTGTGACCATTTTTCTCTTATATTTACATGAGGAACATTCTTGCACATCAGCAAAGTGCTAAAATACTTCCACCCACTGCAACTCTGGACACTTTCCATCCTTCCTCCCTTGCATTATATAATGAATATTTTTATATGCCTTATTTCATCAACATAGTCTCCTAACTCTGCCACAAAAAGTTTTGTAAAATATATGCAGAAGTAAAAAGCAATGGCTTTAGAAATTTTCTGAAAATGCACACAATTCTAAACATTTTACATATGAAAATACAAACCAAGTTTTGTTCAAGCTTCTATTTTCAAGTAAACATTTAAAGTAATTTATTAAAAAGAGATTGAAATTCAACTTCCCTTCTCTCTTTTATTTATGTTGAGTATCACTAGAGACAAAGCCTGTTAAAGGTGAGCTTAGGGACTGCATTGGGTCCTCTATTAGACAAGGCAGGCTACGTTAAGC